ATCTTTTTGAGCTTTGTGGCGTGTTAAGTGCAGAGCAACGACAGCTGACCGATACCTCCAATACTTCAAGCCAGTTTCTGCTGTGGTCGCAGCTCCCATGACGTCAGATCACCACAAGGAATCACAGAGTTCAGAGATTCAGCTTCGCATTGAACAGGGGTTTGCAGGAGTGCTTGGCTTCAGGCTCTCAGACACTGTGCCTACACCGTGCTTGTGATCTTCAATTCTCTCTCCCTCTCTCTCTTCTACCTCCCTCGATCGCTTGCTTCGCTCGCTCGCTCGCGCTCTCTGGCTCTCTGGCTCTCTGGCTCTCTCTCTCTCTCTCTCTCTGCCTTTCTCTCTGTGTATCTCTCTCTCTCTCCCTCTCTCTCTCTCTCTCTCTCTCTCTCCCTTTCTGTCTCTTTCTTTCTTTCTCTCCTCTTTCTCTCCCCCTCTCTCCCTCTCTCTCTCCCTCTCTCTCTCTCTCTCTCTCTCTCTCTCTCTCTTCCTCTCTCTCTCCCTCCCTCCCTTTCTCTCTCTTTCTTTCTTTCTTTCTTTCTCTTCTCTTTCTCTCTCCCCAACTCTCTCTCGCGCTTTCTCTCTCTCTCTCTCTCTCTCTCTCTCTCGCTCTCTCTCTCTCTCTCTGAATCTGTCTCTCGCTCCATCGATCCACACGCGTACATGCATGCATGCATGCATGCATACACACATACACGTCATACTGAATCTGTGCCCGAAACAGTGAAACAGTGAAGCATGTCTGTGTGTATGTAGGCAGGTAGGTATGTATGCATGTACACATAGGCATACACACATGAAGGCATGCATATCTGCGCAATATTATGTATATATGTACATACATATTGTACACACACACACACACATCTTGACTAACTCTATGTATAGACATCTACATATATCCTGCAGCAGCTGGCCGGTGTCCACTAGGGTCACACGGCGTCTTCACAAGCCCTTTGCGACAAGCGTGGCTCAAGTCAGAGCCGCAGACCGCAGTCGTTCGGTTCGGCGCGGCTGTGCGGGGCTGTGCGCTGCCCAGATTGTTTGGGGCCTTTGGGGTTTAGGGTTAGGCTCCAGAGCTTGCAATCTGGCAATTCAACTGTCCCGTGTGAGGTCAGCATGTCCTCCTTTACAGCCGTGGCAGGTTGGCTGCTAAGAGCGCATGCTGAAAGCGGATGCAGTAGACGTGGGAAGTTTGCCAGGGGAGGGTGGCACAAGTGTCGCGGGTGGCGGCCCGGACGTGCAGGCCTTGGGCGAGTTTTTGACATCAAGTATACAGCCTCTGAATGTGTTGTTGTCTCTCTGTCTCTGCGTGTGTGCGTGAGCAGCACGATCATTTGCGCCAGGCGGAGATAGTACAAACAATCGAGGCTCAGGCAGAGAGCCATTGCCCAGCCGTGCATTGGGGTACTGGGCAGGCTACGTTGAATGTGTTTCTCGTAGCATTGGGACACGGCTTCACTGCGCTCACATGCCCGTTGCGCAGCATTGGCCAAGGCTTGTGACAAGAGCTGATGATCGAACCATGCAGGTGTCCAAACTTCTAGGAAGCCAGAAGAAGACTTATGCGTCAGCCCGAGGCAAGCGCCCTGAAGCTGTGCACAATACCACACCACCCATCACCCTTAGGCGTGCTTATAGTTCAGGCATGATCCATCCTGGATCCTAATATGCTTGTATCTATTCTTAAGAGTGTCGTATTAGGAGCACTTATGGTAATGATCCTAATGCACACGCAACTCATAGAGAGCGTCTCATTTTGCGAGACACCCTTTTGCAGCATCTAGTAGCTTCTGTCGCTCCTCCACAGGCCCGAGACCTAAGTGGGAAACTGTGACGTGTCTGGGGGTTTCGGGAAGTTCAGGGTTTGGGGATTTTGTTTGGGGGTTTAGGGGGTTTTGTTTTGGGGTTTGGGGTTTTGTTTTGGGGTTTAGGGTTTTGTTCCGTAGCACGTATAGCAAGGATCTTACTAATCAGATTCTCTTTGTGGGGTCCCTCCCAAAGTGTTCTGAAACTCCCTGATCTATTGACTTTCTGAGGACCCGATGGGACAGTCTCCTGGAAAGATTCCAGGCCGTGTGCTTTCGAGTGCTTGCTCTTGACGCTTTCAGTTCAACGGATCATGAGACTTAGTAACTAGGGTTAGTATTCGGGTAACTATACTTATAACCCCAATTAAGGTACTTATAACCCTACTTACTAAGTCCCATGATCCTCCAAGTAGGCGATGCTGGCCATCAAAGGCATGTCACTCACGGTTTCACGAGGTGTCATCCCTAAACCCTGAACCCTACACCCTAAACCCTTTGAACCCTAAACCCTAAACCCTAAACCCTTTGAGCCCTAAACCCTAAGCCCTACACCCTAAACCCTGAACCCTACACCCTAAGCCCTACACCCTAAACCCCTAAATCCCGAAAGCTCATCCGGTGCCCCGGTATCTCGGATCTTGAGGCGTCGAGCTGGCGCCGGGCACGCCGAAGCCCAAGGGATGCAGCGAGGCCCGGGGATGGGTCGTTGTCAAAAATAGGGGTACCTTTTTGGGTATCCTAAATATTAGGTCCCTTTTAGGGTTTAGGGGTTAGGGTTGAGGGGGTTAGGGTTTAGGGGTTAGGGTGTAGGGGTTTAGGGTTTAGGGGTACCCTTGTTTGGGTATCCTAAATATTAGGTGCCGTACTATAAAAAGGACCCAAAAAGGGACCATAATTTTGACAACCACCCGGATAGGAACCCTAAACCCTTGGGAACCGTAGACCTAACCCCTTGAACCCCAAAGCCCTGAGCCGTAAGACTTGAACCCTGAACAGTGAACCCCCTAAACCCTGAACCCTGAACCCCGAACCCCGGTGAGGCACCCCTTGGCGGCTCTGTGAACTTCACTTTGGATGCGTTCGAGACTCAGGGGCTCCGGGTTACGCCCCCCCCACGATTCGTTGAGGGTTCCTTGAGGGAGTTTCCGAAAATGGGGGGGGGCCCCAATATAGTACCCTAAAATAGTAGGATCCTTAGTATAAGGATACCAACATAAGGTACCCCTACTTTTCGGAAACTCACTTGAAGGGCTTCTACAAGGGTTGTAGGGCTTGTAGGGTTTAGGGTTAAGGGTACTCTAAGTGGAGGGTTCCTTGTAGGGCTGCTACAATAAGGTTGTAGGGCTTTTGGGGTTTCGGGTTCCTTTAAGGGTACTCTAAGACTCTAAGGGCTCTTTCATAGGTTTAGCTTTGCAGAGGCCGGGACGAAGATCAGTGTGGCTTTACCTCGTCCTGCCCGAAGGCCACGAAGGCGCGCCGAGCGTGTTCCGTCTTGGAGTGATCGGCTGCTGGATGCTGCCAAAATCGTGCAGGTGCTTCCATTCTGGGCACTTGTGGCGAGTTTTACTTGCAGTCCCTTGCTCAGTGTTTGTGCACATCCTGTGCTGCATTGTGGTGACAATGGCGACCGCAACAAACAAATTCAGCAGGTGGTAGTCGTTTTCATAGATCTTGACGAAACTGCAACGGAGAAACCATACATCACACAGACCTCGTGTGATAGCGCGAAAATCGGATACAAACAAATTAAGCAGCCAAAAACCCTAGACAATAAACCCAGGCTCACCGATAAGTCAAGGAAGAGCTGCATGAGCGGTATGAGCAAAACGATCCCCTATAACTCCCGGAAAAAAAGACGATCACCGCCACGGCTGCCTTCGAGGCTTGACGCGCAGACGAATAGAAGTGGAGGTGCACTGCTTGTCTGCTTGGAGTCTTGCAGAGCCCTTTGGAGAGCCCCGATAGATCCGTTTTCGAGCCCCTAGAAAAAAGACCCCTCCTGCCGCGAAGGGCCCTAAAGAAGCCTTTTCCCGACCTGCTGCAGATACTTGGCACGTGCAGCTGTTGCTGCCTCCTGGCTTCGACCCGAAGGGTGTGAAGTACATGCGGGCCCTGCTGCGTTGACGCTTTGTGTCAGTGCCACGAGTTGCTCTGGTGGAGATACTAGTAGACCCGAAAGGCACCTCTAGGGCAGCATGGACCAAAGCGGCAGGGAACCGTATGTGCCACCGCAGTGTTCGGTCGGCTCATGACATTGCGTGAGGAAGGGACGAGGTAAGCAGGACAATTCTCGGATGCCAGCCCAAGCATGCCCAAGCCATGAGAGTCTGGGCTCTTGGGTTAAGTTGACGTCCAAACAGACTGAGCATCGGCTGGCATAGGACAAGCATCCAGCCCAGCGTAGCCGGTTCTTCACAGCATATCCTGGTCTAAGCAGCCGGTGAGCCATGCGGTTCGCAGGGCGCGGTGGCATGGGCAGGAGACGATGTATAAATTGCTAATCTTTGGCTTTGCTACTCCTGAGTTGCCGTCATCAAGCCAGCACCGAAGCGGCAAGTGTTTGGTGAATGGCAAAGTTTTGTGGTCTTGTCGGAAGCATTGCAGCAGGATGCAGCAGCAACCGCCGCATCAGCAGTATCTGCAACCCTGAACCCTAAACCCTAAAACCCAAAGCCCCAAAACCCCAAAACCCCAAACCCTTCCATGCTTGTCTCTGTCATTTGCTCTGCTCCAAACCCTCACGCCAACCTCTGAACCCCAAACCCCCGCCCCCCTCAAAACAACACCAGAGCCCGAGCCCTGAACCCTCAAATCCTTAAAACCCCAGAACCTTTTGTCGGAATCCTTAAAAAAGTGAGCCCTTCACTCCTGCATCCTTTGTGAGGACGTTCGGCGGTGTTGCCGTGAATGAGCTCGATGAGCTCTTGCCACCGCCCACGCCGCTGTCTCACAGGCTGGACTCTCCAACAGAAATGGGTGGTTGTCAAAATCAGGGTCCCTTTTTGGGCACCATAAATATTAGGTGCCGTATTATAATAGGTACCCAAAAGGGGACCATAATTTTTGACGACCACCCAGATCTCTTTAGGATATCCTTTGAAGGGCTGGGACCCTTTAAGGAAGCAGACTTGAAGTGTAGAGCTGAGACTTGAGGCTGGGCCGGAGAGTGGTTTCAAGTCTCCTAGACTTCCGAAACCCTATAGTGAATCCCGGGAAGTTGGGACATGGACTCAGGATGATCCGTGCTGGGATCCTCTATACCGTACCTCAAAAGGGCATAAGGATATTGATGTTCCAACTTTCTGGCTTCTACTATACAGCGATTCGGCGATTCAGTCTTGCGAAGCCCCTGAAGACCCTACACCCGAAACCATAAACCCTAAACCCTTGGGAAAGGTCCACCGGCGCGGCAGAAGGGCCCAGGTCTTTCGTCGGTGTGCGCGGCTGAGCCTTTTGCAGACACGGTAGATGTGCCCAGCATAATATGCCCCTGACGCGAAGAAACCCCGACAAACCAGGGCCCCTAAAACAAGGTACGCCTAAGATTGCAGAGCCTGAGGCATGCTCTTTCCAGAACCAGGGCAAGAATGGTGAAAATCAGGAGCGGGCGGAAAGGGCACAGTGATGTGATTTTGCCCAAAAAAAAGCACGCGACTTGAGGACAACCGTGTGGGTTGGCCATGGGGGATGGAGTGTTCATCCTGGGTCCGGTCAGGGCGGTGGGATCTTCGCTTCTTTCCTCCGAGGACAGCTGGATTGCGGCTGAGAGTGGCAGCAAGAGCTTGCTAGCAGTCCTGGATGGCCACGGAGAACAAGGCCGGAGGGTCTGCATCTCGAGGTTATGATCTGTGATCTGATGTTCGGTCTACGATCGAAGAACTTGGCCTTTGTGTCCGTGGAATGGGCGCTCCAGGCAAGCGTGTCTCCGAGTATGCCCGGTCGCAGCTGGCCAGGAGTCTCTACGCTAGCAAGGCCGGGGCTTTCGGCTGAAGCAGGAAGGCCTCTTGTTTTAGGTTCTCGTGAAGGAGTTTGACTTCAGTTACCATAATGGGAAGCCATATCATTTACTATAGCTCATCTCTCTAGCACGGCCTAGCACACCTTGCTCCGGAGAATGTGTTGCGTAAGCGGCCACAAAGATGCATGCAGCCGTATAGGCACACACACACACACACACACACACGGGGACGCGAGACGGCGATGTATGTCTTTACATATATGCAAAATGTATACATAACATCTTACATATGCATCAGCGTAAATATACATATGAGTAGATAGGTAAGCAAATGGTAAGCAACTAAATTTGTGTGTATACATGTAATTATATAATATATGTATCTGTCTCTCTCTCTCTCTCTCTCTCTCTCTCTCTCTACGCAGTATCTGGGACGTGCTCGTCAAGCTCTGCCTCGCTCTGTCGTCACCTGGCCTTGCTTCCAGGATCTCTACACGAAGCCTGCATCGGCGCTGCAAAGTGCCTATGCAGAAACTCAGAAAGGCCGGTGGGAACGAGGAAATTGAGGGTACTTGGAGGATCATGGGACTTAGTAAGAAAGATTATAAGTAGCTTAATTGGGGTTATAAGTATGGTTACCCTAATTATAACCCTAGTTACTAAGTCCCATGGTTCTTTAAGTACAGATGATCTAGTGCAACTTGGCAGTGTGTTCGTCTTTGTCAAAAGAACCGAAGGGATCGAGCGCAGCCATGCCATCGATGCGCAGCGCTCCGGCACCACAGTCAGGGCCTCATTCTCTGCGGAGCAGGACCCTGTAATTGGCGCTGCTGTCTGTAATATACTATAGTATGCTATACTTGACTGTTGCTTGCCTGCTATATCATAGAATACTATACTATACTATACTCTTCTATGTTTTTCAGCCATAATACAGCTACTCCTACAGTGACGATACACTATTCTATTCTATAATCCACCTCGCTCGGTCGGTGAGCCTCCCGAGGCCGTGACTTGCTACCGCCACCGCGACAAACTCGTGGTGGCCAATGTTGCTTAGGGGTGCTTGGAAACAGTTTTCAAGTTTGGTCTAGGGTTTAGGGATGATCCCTAAGAAACAGCCTAACTTATAATATTTGCAAGGATACCAAGTTCAGTGAAGGTTGGCGACTCGCGGGCAGTGCTGGGACGATGCAGCTCGCGAGAGGAGATTGTGGTCATGAGCAGTCATTGGGTCAGCGTGCCTATCGAAGAGAGTACATATGTGCAAGTGTGTGAGGACGTGTGCTTCCATGCGGCTGTGTGTATTGAACATCCAATGAAGAGAGTCTAAACGCTTTTTCGACGGGAAGCCCTGCCAAGATACGGTTTGTCGTTTTTTGGCGCAGTTCGCTTTGGACTGCTCATTCTTTTTACGATTTCGCGGTACTTTGCTTTACTATCCGACATGGTCCTACACTACTACCTTTACTTATCCGAAATGCTGGCCTACGCTACACTCCACTACCCACTATGCTATTCTATGCTACGCCGCTACGCAGTGCTACGCCATGCCAAAATATACGCAACTTTACGAGACTACACTATACAGCAAAGCCCCTATACTCGGTACTTGACTATGTACTACGTACCACTCCATACTGTACTCGATATTCCAGTATCCTCTGCTATACCATTTGGGAGATTCCGAAAATAGGGGACCCTAATATAGTACCCTAAATGGTAGGATCCTTAATATAAGGACCAGAAAAAGGTAAGGTACCCCTAATCTTCGGAAACGCACATGTGTTCGCAGGGCGATGGTTCTCTGCACACCCTGCGGGCCGTTGATCTGTCGAGCGATCAGCGGCCAATGCGGGAAGACGAGCGGAGCCGGATTCTCCAGCAGGACAGGAGGGTTTAGGCCTTCAGGGTTTGTGTAGGGCTGTAGGGTTTGGGGTTCAGGGCTTTAGGGTTTGTGCATGGCTTTTGTGTAGGGCCTTACAGTGGGGTTGCAGGGTTTTGAGCTTTGGAGTTCACTTGGGGCTTATGGTGGGATTCCAGGGTTTAGGGTTCGGGGCTTTACGGTTTTGGGTTGCGCACACGGTGTTTCTACCTTGCTCTGCTGGGTGAGCAGCCTCAGTACTGATAGTCATACGACTCATGATATTGATAACAGTAGTAGTAGTAGTAGTAGTAGTAGTAGTAGTAGTAGTAGTAGTAGTAGTAGTAGTAGTAGTAGTAGTAGTAGTAGGAGTAGGAGTAGTAGTAGTAGTCTCCAACAAGCTATGTTCGCAACAGCTCAGAAAACAGGCTTTTTCCTTGGTGGTGGCAGTACAATGCCCTGAGGAAAAGTTGCTACAAACGGATGACCAATGACGAGGGCTTTTCAGAAAAACTGCTATATGGGAGTTTCCGAAAATGGGGGACCCTATAATGATTTGAGCAGAGAGGCGCCGAGAAGCTCAGGAGGCTCATAGAGGTCTCCACTTGGAGGATCATGGGACTTAATAAGTTCCTTTAAGGGCTCTCCTTAAGGGGATCTATAGGGTTCCTTGAAGGGATCTATAGGGTTTAGGGATTAGGGCCTACTTGGGAGGATCATGGGACTTAGTAAGTAAGATTATAAGTAGCTTAATTGGGGTTATAAGTATAGTTACCCTAATTATAACCCTAGTTACTAAGTCCCATGATCCTTTAAGTACCGCTTCCTAAGAGTCCTTTAGGAGTCGTGCGGAGGCCTCTCAGCCGGCCATTGCAGCATTAGGTTGTCATTCCGTCCAGCATCGTGTCACGTGGCACGGCGTTGACTCTGGTAGATCTGTCATTCGCAGGGTGGTGCAGTCCATCCAAGCGCCATGCCGATGCGACAAGGTGCCTGCAAGACTGCATATAGTGGTTCGTTGCGCCCTTTCTGTATTGACAGCGAGATACTAACATTTGGTAGACAGGCGCCACTAGCTAACTCGCTTCTTGCAAGGCTTGAGGTCGGTTGTGAGCTGAGCCGAGCGAGCCGAGTGATTGCACGCCGCAACATGAACAATCGCGCTAGCCGTTGAAGTCGTTGCATCATAGCAATAACAGCAATAGTAGTAGTAATGGTAATAGTCACAGTGACGGTAGTACTCAGACTAGCAGAAATGGTAAGAAGAAGATCAGCAAGAACAATAACAAGGATAAGACGAGGATGAATGATAATGACAACAGTACTGAAGATCATGATAATACTAATGATACTAACAATACTGAATACTAATCAATAATGAACAGTTCTAATACTACTAACAACAAAAACAACAGCAAGCATAATCACAATCATAATCTCGAACAGTAATAGAGAGTGCGTCGGAATGCGGCCGCGTGCTTTTCGAGCTTTTCCGTGAGTGTCAGGAATAGTGTAAAATCGTAAGTTCTAAACCTTTCTGCAATAGTAAGAGTAACAACGATATGAACAATACCATTGTTAAGGGCAGGTTCGTGCTTTCCTGTGCGAGGTTTCGGTCCTCCGGTGCTGGTCCGTGTTGGTCCAGAGCGAGTGTGGGACAAGATCCTTAGCAGCTGCATGAGTACACTTTAAGTTTTTTTGATAACAAGTGTCTCTTAAGGATACAGTGCTTCTCTCTCTTAGAGAGCTGAAAGGATACAGTGTTTTGGGCTTATGAACTCAGCAACTAAGGACCGGGCGTTGTGGACTTTGTGTCACCCGCTCGCTAGGACTGGGCACTCTGAGTTGATGCTGCGGGGTTACTGAGAACTTGGGGTTGACAGGAGGGGGCGTTCAGGTGTCGTCTGTGCCCTGCAAGAAGTTGTTGCGCAAAGTACCTGAACCGCAGCTTTTCAGAGCCCGGAGGTCGGCGTGCCCTTTTTGCAGATAGGTCTCGCCATGGGGCACTTGCTAGACGACGGGTCGAGATGATCTGTGATGACCTGAGCCGAGCGCTCGAAGGCTACACGCAAAACAGCTTGTGCCGAAATGACTCGAAATGCAGTGGCTGTGGTGAGGATTTTGCTTCACGGAATGCCCTGTTTCGTCACCTGCGTCAGCATGGCTGTGGTGGCGGCACCAGGCGGCGCAGCTCCCGCTGCCTCCTGCTCTACGGCTACGTTGGGACGCGGTTCCATGGCAGTCAGCTCAACTCGGTGCAGAGCGAGACGAAGTTCCCGACGGTCGAAGGATGCCTTTTACGCTGCATCGAGGCCGCTTTAAGAAAGCAGCCAGATGTTACGTCGGTTGCGGTGGAGGTCACTTCCCGAGCATCGCGGACGGATCGGGGTGTCCATGCTCTGTCGACGGCACTTTGCCTGAAGATCACGAAAGAACTGTGTAGCAGCTCCGACAACACGACGAATCCTGACCACAGCCCAAGCCTTCTGGAATCACTTGGATCTGAGCTGCCGCCGGAGCTTACCGCGGCGCACGTGTTCGATGTCGATGACCCACAATTCAATGCAAGATTTGCCTGCCAGAAGCGGGAGTACTGGTACTATGTTCCCTACCGCGCGCTCTTCATGCGCAAGGAGCAGGAGAAGATGAAGCTGCTGTGGTCTAACGCGGGGGCGCTCCCAGGAGAGGATGCTGTGGCATCTTGGATCTGGGTTTCAGGCTTGCCCACTGAGGCCACCGCCGAAGACCTCACCTGGACGATCAAGGAATTGTCGGCTCAGAAGGTTGCAAGCCCGGGTTCTTGTTCAGGAGTTTTATTTAAGTTACCACAAATAAAGAAACCATACAGCTTACTTAACAAGAACCCAGAAAGGTTGCAAGCTTGCTGGAGGACGTGGTCTTCTCCAGGAAGGATGGATCGGCGAAGCTGAAGTTCTCTGATTGCTCATCTGCCTTGGCCGCTTGTGCAGCACTGGACGGCTTCCCTGGTCCTCCGGACGCGCAGGGCCATCGAGCCCCATTGCTGGCGCTACCTGAGTCTCTGCTGGAAGCATGGCAATCCGTGCACAGGCGCCTCCGGTCCGCCTTGAAGAAGCTGACAGGAACTCGATCCTTCCATAACTTTAGTCCTGGCTTCGAAGACGCGAAGGCGGACCCAAGAAGTGTCCGCAGTGTCTATCGCTGTAGGGCTGGTGTGACAGCTGGCTACCGAGACTACCTTGAAGACAAGGCCTTCGCAGTGTTGCGCATTACAGGTCGTGACTTCTTGTACCATCAGATTCGAAGTATGGCTGGCCTGGTAATTGCGGTGACCAGTGGCTCACTGCCCGAGTCCTATCTAGATCTGGCCCTGAGCGATGAAACGGGCATTCAGGTGCCACTTGCTCCGGCAAGTCATTTGGTTCTGGCTGAGTGCGTCTTCCGAGATGGCCTCTTCGGCTGCCCCTTCGGTCAGGCAGTTCGTGAGGCGAAGGACAAGGCGGGTGGGAGGCGAGGATTGCCGGGGCCAGCAGCGTGTACTATGCAAAGCGGCTGCCAAGCAATTCTTCGCGAGCTGAGTTCACAGACATGTCGGGATGAGTTTGATATGTTCTCGAGAAGTCTTGCAGAAGGGGCATCCAAGCAGCCGACGGGCAAAAAGGGATGCCCGCCAGCATGTCGTGCTCCACGCCGGTGGGATTGGGAATCTACCGCTTGGCTTGCCTACTACTATCTTGGCGTGAACCGTCTTCCCCCGGTGGCTGCGGTGGCCCGGTGGAAGTAGGAGCCAAGGCAGCCAAGTTCAGAAGACAACCTCCCAAAGCAAAGCGATTATGGCTGAGATGCCGGACTTCCCTCTTACCATACTCGACTCTACTCTCCCCCGCTCTGCCCTACTACATCGTACTCTGCAGCTCTGCCACTCTACTCTACTCCACCCCACTCCTGATCCTGCTCCTGCTCTTGTCCTTATCTTCTCTACTCCTACTTTGGTCTACCATACCATACGTTAGGTACGGCCCCCATACAGTAACAGTCTATTATAGGCATAGGGCTACTATTAAGGTCCTACTAAATCTTTATTATGAATATTATTCAACTATTATTGAGTGGGGGCCGTACCCAAACCATACGCTGTGCAGGAGATCTGTCGATGCATCCTTTCGTGATTGCCGAGCCAGAGGCCGGGACTCGGAGCTGTAGTTGACGGACCCAAAAAGGCACTTAAGCATAAGCATTTACCGGGATATCCGTACCTTATTGGGCTTCATTTTTTGGGGGCCCTAATAGTAAGGCTCGAGCTGCGGTTGTTTGGTCAGGGGTTTTGGGTTTCGGGTTTAGGCTTGGAGTTTTGTGGTTCATTTAGGCCTAGGTTACTGTTACTATCAGGGGTTGTGTAGGGATGACAGTGTGCAAGGTCTCCGAGAGGATGTTGTCCTCCAAAGACAAGGTCCTCATTCTCGGTAGTGATGGCGTTTGGGATCGGCTGAACTCACAGGAGGCACGGCTCTGCACTGTCATTTGCGCTCCAGGCTTCTGAAGCTTTGTGTTTCGGCCCTTTAAACCCTAAACCTGTAAACCCCAACCCTGAAAGGCCGTGGACATCGCCGCGCGACACACAGATCCCAACGCCGCCGCGCGCGAGATCGCCAGCATCGCGAGGCAGCGCTGGCACGCGGAGACGCAAGGCCGGCTAGATGGAGTAGGAGAAGAGCAGGGAACACCAAGGTTTGGAGTTTCTGACTTGTGAATGTAATACCTATCATGTAGTTGAATGTGATATGGTAGACTACAATATAGTATACTCTACTGCAGTATCACATAATATATACTATGATCTAACTTGCTTCAAAGCCGTTTTCGAGGCCAGCTTTCAGATGACATCACGGCGGAGCCCTGGCTTCAATGGTGTTTCTTTGCTGAAGCAACCTGGGCTTTCCATGGTAGCGAGGAGAGATCCAAGAAGCAGAAGCCTTTAAGGGGTGTCCCCCCCCCAAAGGAAGGTACTTGTTAGTGCTTGCAGTATGGAGCCCCACCTTTGGGGGTTTAGGGGCCTAGAGTTTTGGGGCCTAGGGTTGAGGGGCCGAGGGTTTTACCTAAAGGAGCATGGGACTTGGTAACTAGGGCTATAATTAGGGGTAACTATACTTCTAGCTACTTACTTGTAACCTTACTTACTAAGTCCCAGGATCCTCCAAGTAGGCCCTAATCCCTAAAGGCCCTAAACCCTATAGATCCCTTTAAGGAATCTGTTGAATTCTGAGTTGTCTGCTTCATGTGCCGAGGCCTCTAGTGGATCTGTAGGTCCAAAGAGAGAGGAATGTTCCGGCATATGTCAACGAAGTCATGCTGTAAGACAGTGCATGCTAAGCATATGCAAGTCACAGCTTTACCGAACTTTGTTGTGCGGTGTAAAAGGCGTTTCTTCAATTCGATTGCCATGGTTCACGACTGTTGAGCGAAGATCACTACATGGCAGAGGGTTCAGAGTTGCGCTCCAGAGATTCAGTTCAAGAACCCGACCACCAACAGGTTATGAGTCGCCCAAGTGCTGAAGGTTTGGTGTTAGAAGGTGAGGCGGCTGGTCCCAACTATGGAGCAGTGAATGGCGTCCTACCTGAACAGGCAGGCCAGCGGAGAAGTGCATCTTCTGTGTTGCCGCTAGGAAGAAGGCGGACAGTTGAGCAAGAGCCCAGTGCTGGTTCGAGTTCGGTGCAAGGGAACGTTTCAGCTTCGGTTTTGGGACCTTCTACGACCTCGACAGGACAGCGGCAAGAGGATGTCTCTGTAGTGAGACTCCCAACCGGATCGGTCGACGGCAGCGCTGGCGTGGAATGTACGAGTGCGCGCGTGCACGAACATACAGCACAGCAGCAGCCGCAAGCACCTCCACCGCCACCACCTTGTCAAGAACCTACACACCATGTCCCTCAACAACCCCTGCAGCAAGGTGTTCCTGTATCTCCAAGGCGAGAACGGTTACCCCCTCCGCTACAACATGCTGTACATCAACTTTCTCAACAGAGGACTGCGGTGATCCAGGCTGTGCAGTCAAGAGCACAACGGGCTCTTCAGGGTGTAAGACATGAAGATGAACCTGGTCATGAAGGGAGTGTTTTCGGGACCCCGGGAAGCTTAGCGGGTTCTCCTATGGTGGCACGGCCAACCAATGACGACCGAAGTGTTAGTGGATGGTCTGTCACTCGTATACGTGAAGTACTACATCGAAGGCTAGTCGAACCTGTCTTGGAGCACGTTGGAGGTGGAGATAGGGGACCCTCATCCTCACCAGCGTGGCACTCACCCACTCACGATGCAGGAGAACAACCGCTTATGGCACCGGAGACCAGGAGGGCTATGGCAGCATGGACGTCGCAGCCAACGGCGATTACGACACCGATACCGGCGCCTCCGCCTTTGCCAAGGGATGATAGCTCAACGGCAAGCATGAACCAAGAAGTTGTAATGGAAGAAGTGCGCCGACAGGTGAAGCTTGCAATGCAGTCTCGGGACATGGAGCTACGGGAGTTGCAAGACCGGAACAATGAGCTGAGGCGAGCTTTGGACGATTCCGCCCAGTTGCTCAATGATGTTATGCAGGCTGGAGGAGGAGGGCGAGAGCGTGACCTTCGTGAGGCTCGGCAAGGACCCCTAGCTTCTATAACTGGCGGAGATCCTGCGGGAGAAGGTCAAGGTGCGAAAGCAGCCCCGCGAGCTCCTCCAGGTCTATCGGGACGTGATGGGCGGCCAGGCGGCAATCTACCTGAACAAGGACAGGCTGAACCTGGAACTTTCGGAGGTTTGGGTGGAACGTCTGGTCAGAGGGTGATCTTCTCGGATAATTTGGCAGCTGCTGGGCCTTCAAATGAAAAGGGAGTGGCGGGAGCTGGAGTTCGAGGAGGTGATCCTTTGCATGGAGCCCCAATGACAAGTGGTGATGCTGAGGCTTCGTCCTTGGATCTTTTGGTTCAAGGGATGCGGCAGCTGCAACAGATGTACCTAGAAAAGGGGAACGTGACGGGCGGTGATGCGCTCAAAGGGAGTGTTGAACTCCCACAGCTTCCTGACGTGGTTGGGGAGACGGGCATTGAGTTCAGTGATTGGCTGTACGTAGCAGAGCAGACCATTGGCTCTCTTTCAGACTCTGCGACGGCCTGGTTCAGTATGACCTTGCAATGTGCGAAGGAGGCCTACCAACGACATCAAGTGGCAACACCGTTGGATAGGCTCACGATCTCGCCGGTGATCCCCAAGGACTTGACCGAGGCTAAGTGGAGCCGCTTGGAGCGAAAGGTGATGACGATGTTGTTGCTAGCGATGCCAAAGGGAATAAAGGAGGACTGTGTCACTCACAGGGTGGCTACTGTGGCCGGGACGTTGTACCGGCTACACATCCTCTACGCGCCGGGCGGTGTGAACGAGCGCGCAGCGGTGTTGAAGCAGCTGGAGGGCACGCAAGGCAGTGACAATGTGGTTGAGGTCATCACGTCTCTGAGGAAGTGGAGAAGAACCTTGACGAGGGCCACCGAGATGAATGTGAGCCCGCCAGATGCCAGTGTGTTGCTAAAAGGGATCGAGCTGATTGTGTCCAACGCGGTGAAAAAGTACCCGGAGGTGAGCTTCCGTTTAGCCCTGGCCCGCAACGACCTACAGCTACAGAGTCGGCCTCTACCCGAGACGGTGCTCAAGTACTACGATCACGTGTTGGCAGAGCTGCAGCAGACTACCCCAGTGAGAACTTCAACAAGAGCCAACCACCAAGGTGATGATCAACCGCGCCTTCGGGCGGTTGACAGTCAAGCAGGCACTGGAGGTACGTCGCTAAGTACCCCGACTGGTTCCCCAACGAGAGCCGGAGGAAAGGGTGGACCATGTAAGTTCTTTCAGTCGGAGACCGGGTGTAGACGCGGCACTTCCTGCAAGTACCCCCACGACTTTAGCTCAAAAGAAGAGAAACGCTCAAGGTGTTGGTTTTGCGGGAGTCGACAGCATCGCCAAAATGAGTGCCCGGTGAAGGACCCCACGAAATCTGGAAGGTCACCTGTTTCGGCTTCGTCATCTACTACAAGCCCAACGGCTACGATGAAGACCGCGGTTGTCCCGGCCACACCAGTGGCACCGGAGCCTAAGGCGACAGGACCAACGGCTTCCTCAGCGAGTTCTACATTGACGGGGTCTACGGCATCCTCAGAGCAGGTGGTGCAGGCTGAGCCCATACAGGCATTCACTCCAGAGGCCCTGCAGAATCCAGAGCTTCAAACGTTCATGAAGGAAGTCAACACAATGTTGCAAAGATTTGCGAGGCTCAACACTTTGTCTTTGGTGGACGACAAGGAGTTTGCCGAAAAGGTCCGGAAGCTTGAAGGTGAGATGACTGGGGAAGGGGGCGGTGCTTGGGCATTGTTAGACTCAGGCGCCACGAACCCTTACCGTCGAGCCAAAGAAGGTGAAGAACAGCTTGCGATGCCGGTTCAAGTACAGCTTGCCGACGGCAACTCAGTGCTTCTGCGCCAAAATAAAGCAGGGACGCTCATGCCCTTCAACCAGAAGCGGGACGACGCAACCAACGGCACCGGAGCTGTAATCGTTCCGCTTGGCAGCTTGGTGCGTGAGTTAGGCTGCACGGTGTCTTGGACCAAACGCGGCTTGCAAGTGGTGCATCCGGAACACGGGGTTATCACGACACATGTTTCTGGGGCGTGTCCGTTCATTGGGGAGGCCAAGGCTTTGGAGTTGATCGGCGAGATCGAGAATCGAAAGCTAGAGCAGCTGAAGGCCGCCACTGTGGAGAACCAGTTGAAGATGTGTGGAGTGGAGACTCAGCTGAACTATGGCACTCAGCTGGCAGAGTATCGTCGCAATGGAAAACGAGAAGAAGGACTAAAGGCCCTGATGTGTGAGGACTCGGCGTTTGGCTGCTTGACAGAGGCCCAGAGGTGTGCACTGATACAGGATGTTGACTTGAGCGACAAGGCTGGGTATAGATATTTGAAGGCGCTGCCGGTGAAGAGGGCAATGAGGAAGCGTCTGATGTCAATCCAGTGGTTAGTGCATCTGTACTCGGGCGAAGGAGGCAGTGAGGAGCTCAAGGTCCTTGAAGACAATTGCGTGACGTTGCTGGAAGTCGACCTAGGCATCAGCAGATCCTTTAACATGAAGGAGCCCAGTGCGGTTTACAAGGCGCTTCTATGGGCAGCTATGCGGGGTCAGCTGCACGGTCTGATTGGAGCTCCACCAAGGGGTGAAGGTTGCGGGGAGTTGGTTTTGAAACAGATGTTCCTGTGGAATCTATCAAGGGTGACCGCGGAGGAGCACGAAGTTTCCTGTCCTATTCTTGCAATGACGTTGCCGAGGAAGAGTGAGTTGTGGAAGTCAGCTATGTGGAAGGGTTTCCGAAGCACTATGGGACTGGCTTTGAGTTTGGGTTCACCGGACGTTGTCTTGGCTACCAACATGATCGTGAAGGACTCTGTGGAACCATGGGAGCGGACCTCGAGAACAGGGGCCATTGTGTGGACAGAAGAATTTAGAAGGGCTCTGGTTCGAGCTATTGTGCACCAAAGGTCCCGGTTTGCTCTTCGAAGAATGGAAGGACCTCTCAGCTCCATGTCCAAGGAGGAGCTGGCCAAATGGTTGGTTCATGTCAGGAACGGGCATATCCCGTACCATAAAAGGTGCCAAACCTGTGTTGCGACGAGGGCTACTGGGCACCAACACAGACGTGTGGAAGCACCATCATGCAATGTGATGTCAGTAGATGTCTGCGGGCCTTTTCGAAAGAAGGGCCAAACCCCTGACGGTTTGAACTACAAGTATATGTTGGTCGCTTCGTACACTATGCCGGTGATCAAGGGACGCAGGACTGGACCGGACGATGAAATTGTCAATGAA